GACACAACAAAACAGAACTGAAAAAAGATGGAACCACCAAATTATAGAACAGCAAGATTATACTTGGGACCTTGTATGGAAAAGAATAAAAGAAGAACACACCTGGGACACTTTCTTTAAACAATCGCAGCTAAAAAGCTTCCTCATAAAACTAATGAATAATGAGCTACCAACTCTGAACAAGCTGGCAATTAGAAGGCCTGACCTTTACAAACAAGTGAAGTGTATTGCATGTAGCCAGCAAAGTAAAACTTTCGAATATTTACTAGAGTGTCCAGCATATAAAAAACAATTACAGGAAGCATGAAATAAAGGACAAGATGGGATCCTCAGAGACTTCAGAGGGCTCTTACAAGAAAAAAAAAAAGAGGCTGAAGAAAAACATGCAAAGTTGATTATCCAAGACAAAGAAGAAATGGCCGAGATAGATAAATGGATCTCCAAACTGGTAGAACAGACCTCAAAAACCAGTCAAGACACTCTAAGTTTTTGTACAGGGCTAGTAAGGAGAGACCTAATCCTAAAAATGGCAGATCTAAAATGCTATGGAAAAAGAATTGGTAATAAGGCAAGAAGATGAATATCAAAGATGCAAAGAAGAGTGTGCAACCAAATAAGGAAAAAAATTTGGAACAAAAGATGTGAGAAGATAATCGAATGGAAACATTCACAGGAGATTCTCAGAGTAGGAAAAATAAACTGACTCTCAGGCACACAAAGCTTAAAACCATCAGTCTCAAAAAGTAAAGATCCTTTACCAGAGGAAGGAACTCAAGAAAATGAAAGCCTGAAAAAAATTCTATTCAAAGGTGTTACTTATGGAATGAAGTGGTTGGGTTTTAAGCTTGGTCAGAACAACGGATAGTGATCTGCAATGATGATCTGCAAGCAATAATGTTAAAGGTTGAAAGGGTATTCACCTGAACCATTAATGGAGTGATAAATCACTCCCGAAGTTGCACTTAGAGTTTTGGTATATTAAGACAAAATAGTGATGAGTGAGTTAGGTAAAGTCTTATCTTTAGCGAATCATTTAAAATGTGCAGTATACAAACGTTTAATAAAGCACATGTACCTAGCCTGACTTAGGATTTAAAAAAAAAAAAAAAAAAAAAACGTATTTATTTATTTATTTTTATTTTTTTTTTCTATTTCATATATAGTACTTATATATTTGGAATTTTCTTCTTTTTTAACTTTTTAATTTTAACTAGAAAAATTGAAATGCAGTATCTAGAAAGAAGTAAAATTTTATTTTCTAAATAGAATTTAGAGAACCTAGTTTAGACTTAGTTTTGTTTAGTTTGAACTAATTTAATAGACTTAATTCTTTAACTAATAATATACAAAAAAAAATAAGTCAGTTGTTGATAATATTAATGGCTTTATTACTATTCAATAAATACAAACCGTAGTAACTTATAATAAATTATTATTTTATATATTGTATAATAACTATTAAATCTTTGGCAAATAATCTTTAATCATGACTTACGCATAGAATGTATTCATTTACTGTATATTTCAATAAAAATAATAACTACTCTAGTTTAGTTTATATTTATCATAATATCCTTGATTTAGCATCTATTTAATTCTCATAAATCCGTCAATTCATTTTCTCGGCAATTTCCTGGTTGAACTCAGTGGAAACATATGCGTGTTCCTTCATGTAAGCACTAATATTATCCTGATATTTTAAAAATTCCAAATATTTTATAATGTTCAACAGTTCTTTATCTTTAGCTAATTGACGTCTTGGAGAATCAAAAGGAAGCAGATGTATGGCGTTATATGGTTGCAACACGGCTTTTGAGGGCGAATCATCAATAAGAATTGTGTTCGTTTGATCCCATATATGCGATGAAGTATTATTTATCGTGTCAAGATCAATTGCCTGCGGTAACATCTCGATGATATTATTCGTTGAGGGTACGGAACGCGGTGTTGTGGATGGGGAAAATGTAATAGAAGTGTATATACCATCATTCAACGATTCTGAGGACGAACCATCATGATTATTATGGTGCCGATTTAATTCATCCCAAACAGTTTCTAAATCTTTTATCACTGATACTTTTCGATGATACGCATGCTCATTTAATCCAAATTTTTTGCGACTCCATATTGCAACTAATCGACTTCTATAACGTCCGAATGCCTTATCGACTAATGCGTCGACAGTTTGAGGCCTGGCAGATGACCACACCATCACTGAAAAGTCAAAATTCTCACTTGTTCCTTCAGTGCTATCGAATAGATATTGAAGGAATTCTTTAAGGTAAGGACGCAAAGTACCACGGGTGCGTTTCTTTTTGCTACGGTGCAATAAAGTACTATTAAGATCAAGTACGATAAGTTTGGGTGTGGGTTTGGAGAGACGAACAGATTTTCTGGAAAGTATTTCAAGATATTTCTTTGAAGGAGTAGAGCATGTCATTGCTGATGTATATGGTGAATAATCAATACGTCGATTATTAATATTTGACGTAATTTCTGCGCCAAATTATAACGTACTACTTACTGTAATTAGATATTTATGTGCTATCATTAAATTTTCAAAATTTGCAAACTTGTATATGAAATTATCGGTTTGTGAAAGGCAAAAGAGAAATAGGAGACATAAACTGTTCAAATATACTTTTCAAAATGTAATTAAAACTACAGTATAAACAATTTAACATTTATGGTATTTAAATTAGAAAGTTTCTATTACTCTTTTTAACCTAGCAATGGTTACAACATATACAGTATATAATATATATAATGTGGAACAAAAAAAAATCAAATTATTTTTTTAAATTTTTAATTATTTTTTTTTAACCTATATATTTTTTTTTAATTAGTTTATCCTATATCTAGTCCATACTTTTATTAATAAAAGATTATATTTAGGAACAATTAGAATGAATATCATTTCCTTACTATTTAAGAAATTACAAATCTTTAGAAAGATTATAATATAAGGAATTTTATCTTAATTTAAGTTTAATATAATCAGAATTACTTTTCTTTATCAATATTACAATAATATTATCAACTATTTTAGAAGATTATTTAATTAATCTGCAGTAGTGATCTGCAGGCAATGATGTTAGAAGTTGGAAGGGTTTTCACCTGAACCTCTAACGGAGTGATAAATCACTCCTGAAGTTGCACTTAGAAAGGTAATATAATCAAAATAAGTGAGTTAGTTAGAGATTTAGCTTTAGTGTTTTATTTAATATATACAGCTTATAACTGTTTAATAAAGCACACATAACTAACCTGACAGAGTGTAAAAAAAAAAAAGATTATTTAATTAATTTTGTTATTTAAAACATATTAATTTGTATTTATCAATGGATTTATTATTATTTATTATGATTAAATATCTTTTTTTTTTTAATTTATAGTTAGATTAAAAAAAATTTTTTTGAGTACCCATAGTCAAGCTAGATTATAGTTTATTAATCAATTAAAAACATAGTAAATTTTTATTTGAGTAATATAATATAACTATAATTAAACATCAATGTTAAATCTAATTAACTTGTTATAGGCAATAATAGCCTTTAAGTTTAGTTTTGAAAACAATATTTCACTTTATAGTAAACTTTGGATAAAGACTCTCCTAGTTTATCATTTTATTATCAACAGATTGTCACTATTATATATTTTATCAAATCATTGGAATATAGGAAATTAAAAAAGAATAAATTAAAAAAAAGAAAAAAATATATATAAAAATGTTCAAGTAAACTATAAGAAAATAAAAAAAAAAAATTCTTTGGTTTTCTTTAAAAACCTTCTTTTCAAGACTTTTTATTAATAAAAAATATCCAATCAAGTTAGTCTTTCTTTTCTTGATCATCTGAAAAGCTTATCTATTCTTAATCTTAATTTTGTTTTTTATATAATATCTAAAGAAACTTATCACTTGATAAGAACCTTTACTTCTAGGATATATTTGATCCAATCTTCTTTAAGCAATAAATTTTTATCCACTTGTAATAGATAAATAACTTATGATAGATCCCAGGTTCTTATGTGATTTAATAAAAACTAAGTCATATTGTTTCAATATAATATCTTTTAGCAACTATGCCTAGTTAAAAGAATATTACTAGCAACCATATTCTATTATTTAAAAAGTCAAATTCTCAACAATTTTTTTGCCTTGTAATGGTTAGAAAGTTTTAAAAGAGATGAAAATTCTTGTTAATTATAATGTTCTTTAACAATTTCTGAAAAAATATATTCTCAACTATAATCAAAAGATTGAAGTTTAGCATGAACTAGAAACTGACAGTTTTATTACCTGACTGGGATAAGAAAAAAATCTTAATCTTGAATTTTGCCTAACTGGAATGATAAAAAAAAAAAATCCCAGCTTAAATAAATAATAGCTTTTTTATTACCTGGAAATAATAATAAGTTCCTAAAGTATTTAGTAAATGATAGGTTTCTAAAATATTTAATGAGTTATTTTTAGAATCGCAGGGTTTTAAACGAATCAATAAAATTGTTCGAAGTATTACCCTGCGATTACCAAAATAAACCAGGATTAAACAATCCATTAAAAAATTCGAAATGATCGACAAAAAAAAACTTTCTATAGTTTAGTGTACCAAATTGGTAGCCGTACCAAACTCAGCCGCGGGTGGTTATCTGGGACATTAATTAGTGTGACGCAAAAAGATAATCAAGTGATTTGAGATTTTGCGAAAAAAAGGTCAACTGAATTTCATGTAAATTTTTTCAGATGTCTATAGAGTTGGTGATTTGGAAAAAATGTATGATAACGAAAATTAAGGGCTGTATACTGTACCAAACTCGGAATTTGAGATTGGAATTTTGAGCGAAAATGTCTAGATAGTTTTGGAAATCCTGTGGGGTTTTAAAAATTTATTTATTTGTGTAGCATGTAGACAGTTTCGCGGGTATATTTTTGTATATTTTTTATATTTTTTTATTTTTATAGTATGTAGATAGTTTATAGATAGATATTTTTTATATTTTTTTACTTGTATAGCATGTAGATAGTTTTGCGAGATAGATTTTATGATGTATAGCATGTAGATATTTTCGCGGGATAGATTTTATTGCGGCTAGCATGTAGATAGTTTCACGGGGTATATTTTTTATATATTTTTATATTTTTTATTTTTATAGCATGTAGATAGTTTCGTGGGATATATTTTTTGTATATTTTTATATTTTTTATTTTTATAGCATATAGTATAGTATGTAGATAATTTCGTGGGTTGATTCATTAAGCATGTAAGGTATAGTTTTGTGGATGATATAATGTTTAGTTGTTAAATAAAATTGATGAGATGTGAATGAATTATAGATGTAGATTTTGAATTTGTGGTTTATTTTTAGATTAGATCTTGATTGCAAAACAGATTTAAGTATAAATAAGATGTATTTTGATGTTCTTTTTTTATAAAGATGTCAAATTCAAAAGATAAGTGTGATCGATATCATTATTTCAATTTTACGGTGTTCAAGTCAAGTGAAGCATTTTCATTGACAGATCAAGAATTTATTGACCAATACAAACAGCATATCATTAATGTCTATCATAATAACAAAGACAAGATTCGATATGTGGTGTTTCAATTTGAGGTCACGGAACTTAGGGAACTTCACATTCAAGGTTATACACAATTTTTTAAAACCCAAGAGATTGGTTGTTATAAGGAAGAGAGGAAGGAGTATACAAAATATGCATTTAGGAATTCTGATAAGTATAAAAAGGGAGACGTCATCAGGGATGATGAGAGAAATCCAATGAAAGAACTTTGTAAGAAGACACATTCAAGTGGAATCAAGGGATTGTTCAAATTTCATTCAATACATGTAGGACATGCCAATGTGAAGGATAAGATGGATTGCATTCTCTATTGCAAGAAGGTGTACAATAAATGTAAGTTTCATAAACACTGATCCAATTGTTCGAACAAGGAATGAACTTCAAGATGCAGTTGTCATGAGTGTCAGTGTGATTATTTTGATTTGTCCAAATCTTGTTCAAAATATGATGAGCATTGTATTCAATATCGTACTTTGACTCGATATGATAAAAGCACGGATCTGAAATCTTGGTGGATTGAATTTGGTACTTCGATTGATCATGATAAAAGAATTAAGAAAGATATCGATGAAAATATGATTTATAATGAATCAGCACAAAATATTTTGGATGGTATTAGTACGGCTAATGAAGAGATCATCAAGAATATAAGAAACAGAACAGCTCCAACATATACTCAATCACTTTTTTATGAAAAGATTGAGAAGATTCATAATATTATAAATCCAATGAAACGATTTTGGAGACTATTAACATTCATCTTGTATGGACCAGGAGGATCGGAAAAGATGGGATTGGTGAATAAGTTATTTTCAGATGAGATGTATAGCAAACCCAACAATCAGAGATCAGGAAAGAATTATTGAAATGGATATGATAAATAGGAGATCGTGTTGATAGATGAATTCTATATCAAGATGAATTGGTTTGATATGGTGAACGTCTTAAATGATGCTCCTTTTGATGTGGAATGCAAGTATTCTGGATTTGAACTATTCTTAGCAAAATATATATTTTTAATTAACACGAGGTCATCTCAGAAGGCATATAATTTTAAGATGAGTAATTTAAATAATGATGATGGTAACAAGAAGGATTATCAACAATTTGATTGAAGGTTGGATTATGTGATTCGATTTTCAGGTCGATTTGAGGATGGAACAACTTAGGTTGTATTTGAGAAGGGTAATGAGAAATTATTTCGAAATATGAGATGGGATTTGAAATATAATAAGGGATTCATGACAACCAAGGAATTAATTGAGAAGGTGGAGGAGATTAACAAGAATATCAAGAGTGAGGTAATTGAGAAGAATGGTAATATATATTAGAGACGTCATTTTGAAGATCACAAGGTGAAATACTTGAAGAAGTATCCTGATATTTCAGATTTTGATATGAGTAGGTATTTGAAGAGATCAATAGATGATGATATGGATCTGGATGAGCGTGAATTAAAGAGAGTGAGGATCGATAAGTCGACTCCTGATAGTTTGATGATTGATGAATGATTTTATTTTATTATATTTTGAAATATATAAATATGTGTATACTCGTATTAAAAATTTAACAGATTCAAAAGTTTTAAAATGTCTGAGATGCAAGAAAAAACATATCAATCAATTGAAAATTTAATTAACAAACAATTTAATCGAATCGAAAAATTTATTGAAAATCAAGAAGCCGAACGATTAAAAAACACAAATCAAGAATGTGAAAAATATTTAAAATA